CCCTAGCCAGCCCCACTAGGCATGGAAACTGTGCTGAGCAGCTCAAACAGGCAAGCCCCATGAAACAACCCTATTTTTGCGAAATAGGGTTTCACGACTGTGGATTGGTTTGCAGCGTTGTTGATGTTGTCTCAGGCCCTAGCCAGCCCAAGTAGGTCAGGAAACTGCGCCTTGCAGCTCAATTAAACATAGACCACCCCCCCTCAAGAGAACACTTTTTTTTCAAAGGCATTGGAGCCACCCACCCGCTCACTCGTGCCAGCCAAGCACAAGCAAACCCCGATCAGCCTCGTCCCTCCCAAGGGGTGCGTGTGCTGGTTGGGGGTCAAGAAGACAGATAGACAGACAGACAGAGAGACAGAGAGACAGCCCACCCAGCCAGCCTGCCAGGAGCCAGGCAGGCAGACGAGGTGACTGAAATTATTCAAATTAAACGAGGCGAGGTGAATAATTTCAAAACATTGAATTAAGACGAGGTACGAGGTGAACGAAATTAATGAAATTAGTTTAATTCACCCAGAACAGATGGAAGGGACGTATAACTGCATCAGAATCAATCATCGCAGCAATATCGATGGAAGAACTCCTGCACCGCACACTAGTGGATTTTCAAGGGGCAGGACGGCAGGATGGGCCTATGGTTTTTGTGCAAGGTAAACCCAGCTGGTCAAAAGCTCCACAAGCTGGAAATTTTGAGTGCTCATTTTGGATGTGTAGGAAAAAACAATTCTCTCTCACAGCGAGGTGTTGCATCACATGAACGGAGGTCTTGCACACCAAGCATGTTTCGAGATCATGGAAGGTTCCAAAGTTCAATCTTGGCTCGATGTTTGATTCTCCGGCTTGATCTGTCAAGCAAATTTCAATAATTAGTGTTCAATTGATTTGGCCTCAAATTGTTCAATGTTGATTTCTCCACTTTGGTGTGACAATATCGAAACGCAACTCCAGTTCGTATCAACGAATGTAGACTCTTTGCGAATAAATAACTCTCCCCATTTGGATTGCCGGTTCATATGGGGTGTATTATTATTTTAGGGATCCACATACCCTCTGAGAAGGTGCTTAGAGGCAACGTTGTGTAGGTTTGGAGGGTCCAAGTACCTTCTGAGAAGGTACTTGCATCCCTAGGCTAATAAAGTGTCAACATTAAACATATCACTGAACTCTGGTCTCGTCAAGCTGTGAGACCCATGCCATCGCACGCATTCCAAGCTGCACCAGACCGCACATGACCGCACCATCTCTTCCACTTGGAAGGGCAGGTGATCCACCAGGCATGTGAGCATCTAGTGAACCTGTCATCAACTATATCAACTCGGCGAGTTCCTTCAGATGTCCTGCTCGCCTTCATGAGGCGGGTGGCGACTTGCGAAGCCTACCGCGCCACGGCTGGCAGCGACTTTGGGAGCCCTTCGCGCCCAGGAGTGCCCGAGCGAAGTGGCTGAGAATGAATCCGAAGTGGACACAGCCTGACACAGCTTTTGAGAAAGGCCAAGATGAATGAAGAGGTTTACCATGGCTTACCATGTATCAGATGTTATCGCACTGTGATGGCCCCAATTTTCATGATTTGGGCCCAGCTTTGCGGTGAGAAGCTGCGTTGGGAGGATGGGCGGAGTTTCCGGGTGAAGATGGATGGACCATGATATCAGGCTGGACATGGATGGGTGGTTATTCCAGTTTGAGGTTTGCTAGTTGGAAGTGGTTGTTGCATGTTGTTGCACTTGGTGTTCAGATTTGTTTTGCAGGTTGTTGTTTCAGGTGCCAGTAATTATTGAGTTTGAAAGGGATCTGATCGACTATGCTCCATTGGTTATGGGATGTGGTGGTCCCCTAGGTCCAGATGTAGCGAACACGTGGCCCGTCTTTCTTATTGGCAGAAGAGGTGGATAGAGGGTTGAACAGCTTTCTTTTTGAGTACTGTACCAGGAACTTTCAACCCTTTATTTTGGGCCAAGCCAGTTTCACCCAGTATGGATGTCACTGAAACCCTGACTTGGTCTTGGCATTGTTGAGAAACACAGCTTGCAAAGCAAGCAAGTTTATCGTCGATGCAACTCATCCAATTTTAGGCAATCTGATGAAAAGCGTCAACACTCATGAACACTCCACTATGCATTTCTAGGTACAGGGCCCGCAGCTGCAAACAGAGAGTTGCCTGTGGGTCGCTTGACCACCCACCTCTTGACTCATCTTGGACTATTTCACCTATTAGGAAGATGACTTCTGCCTTATACATTGTGCTACGATTATTTGATTTATATAAATCAGCTAGACCTGAACACCAGGTGCATCATTGATCTAGAAAAAATGAACAACATATGAGCACAATATTGTCAATAAGATCTGACGGAAACCATTAGCTTCAAAACATGTTAAAACCAAGTGAAAATCGCCAACCTGCTTTTAGAGGTAGAGCCCCGTCCCCTTCATTGCTTCGGTCGTAGGAATAGGGACACAAAGGGACCGTGCATCCAACAAAAAACAAATGTGCTTCTTTGTATAGGTCTTCACCCATCCTCAAGCCAGATCAAACCAGATCAAACCGACTTGGATGACACATGATGGCACTAGGAGGACTCCTGAAACGGCGGAGATGCCGGAAGAGACCAGGGAACAGACGGAGGCACCGACTGGGCCCATCCAGGGTGTCACACAGCCGTGCAGCCGAGAGGTTGGTCGAACCAAAGCGAGGTGTTTTTAGCCGATGTGTCCCATGTGGTTCTCCATGGTTCTCCATAGTTTTCCAGGGTTTTTAGTTGGGTGTGTGGTTGGTTTCCAGTCTAGAGTCTAGTTGGTTTTCCGTGTGGTTTGAGGCTAGCTTCTCGAAAGCCAGTTGGATTGCAGCAGTTTTCTTAAAATCCCTTTTTGAAGCTTCAAGGCCAAGCTTCCTCGCTAGATTCACTCGATGCAAACGAAGTGGCCCTGAACGACTTGATAGCTTGGTGCCATGCGGTGCCGTTGCCATGCGTGCCTCTAGGTGCCTGAAGGCCAAAGAGCTTTCGCCTTGTCCCCGGAGAGAACCGAATGCTATGCAGAGCGTAGCTTTGAGTCTCAGCAAGAAGAGAACAGGAGATGAGACGAACCTCACCCTTAGCAAACTTGGATGCCCTGGGGCCAGCTGGTTGTTTAGTAGTATACAGTTCAGTTCATGTTGACCAGATGGGCACGCTATCGCCAACGTCGTGACGGTATCGACCCCACTCCCCACTGGGGGGGCCGGCAGTACCATTTGCCCCGCCATCGCCGAGTTGGACGGCACCGGCCCGGCCGAGCTGTCGAGGAATGGGATCCCTTCCAGCAGATGAACGGGATCCGGCGCAAGAAGAACGAACTCTTGCGGAATCCTTCAGCCTTCAGCACTTCGGCGGTCCGTCGGCCGTTCGGGTCAGGATCGGGTCGGCCGCGAAGACCACGGTGGACTCGTTGGGTTCCGCAGGTTGATGTGTTTGCCGGAGGAGTCGGGGAGAGGAACGTCTAGGCACGTGTGTTGTCTTGGCTTTAATGTTTGAGGAGGTTTGGGAGGCGGCAAGCTGTGGGACAGGGCAGATAGATGAAGGAGGTTGATTCTAGCATCGTAGTTTATGCCATATTAGCCCCGTTGATCAGACACACAAGTAATGAATTGCCTGTCAATGCTGCATATTTCGGCGTGAGGAAGGAGTCTGCAGGAGGTCACATAACTAGGTACGACATGGTACGACTAGGTAGGGAACCAGGCAGATACTTGGAGTCTCAGATCTTCTCAGCACTTGGTATAGATCGCTATTAGGTTGGAGGCCATCGCTAGTAGGTTGGAGGCCCCCCCATGGTTTCCCATGAAATTCATTTTCGACTTCCTCACCAATATGGAAAATCGTCATCCTGACGATTCACGGCCTCCGCTCTGACTGCACCACCCCCGAACTTGGGGGGAGGCATCGGAGGCCGTCCTACTTGGGTTGCCAACGGCTGGCTGCAGGCTTGGACCTCTCACCACGCCTCCTCTATGGTCGTTCCGAGCACGTGGACGTTCTCATCGAGTCTGGCGTGGCCAGGTGTCGCGGGTACGTTTGCAATGGTTTTCATGTAGAGCTGGGGAGATGGGAGCTTGAATAGTTATCATCTCAGTTATTTCAGGTCACAAACAGATTGAGGTTCAGTATCTCTGCTGGTCAATGGTGTTCATTTGGGTAGCTGTGGGGGTTGACCCACAGCTAGAGGGTGCCTATATGTGCCTATCATTGAGATAGAAAATTCTTGCCGGGCTGAAACTCGAACATCTGGGAGCCCTAGTCCTCCAGGCTGAGACAATCTGCACCCAGTAAGTACGCATGGAAGGAGCACAATAGATGCCTATAGAACCTGAGTGACCTCTATTTTGGACCACCCTCCACCCATCTCCATCCTAAACATGTGGTTGTCGATCTAAAGGTCCAGGTCCTAGTCAGCAGTGTGTATGACGATGACCCGGAACATATCAAAATCTCATTTGGCGAAAGTTTTTTCTCGAGTTGGCGAAAGTAACTACTTTTTTTGCGAAAGATCTGGCAAAAGATTAAATATGTACTTTTGTATGAATGTTCATTTGCTTTCTGAACAGCTGGTGGCAGTGACTCAGAAGCTAGATGAGCTGTGTAAGTTAGATAACCTGCTGCTGCTGCGGCTGCTACTGTACTACTACGACTACCACTACCACTACTACTGCTACTACTGCTACTACTGCTACTACTGCTGCTACTGCTACTGCTACTGCTACTGCTACTCCTACTACTACTGCTACTGCTACTACTACTACTACTACCACTACGACTACTACTACTACTGCTACTGCTACTACTACTACTACTACTACTACTACCACTACGACTACGACTACTACTACTACTACTATTCCTGCTCCTGCTTTGGGGGGGTGGCTTTGCCACAAAACTCTACCCCGCAAAAGGCGAAAGTTTGGCGAAAGTTCAGCTCAAGATTGGCGAAAGTTCACCCTGCCACATCTGACCCCCAGCCCATTATGAGCAAGTTTGAGTGACCGGCTACTACAGTGATTCTTGCAATTTTGATTCTTGCTGACACCCAGGAGAAACAAAAGAGACGTACAGGGTGTCAACAGTTATAAGTAGAAGACACATGCTGACAAACAGTGAAGTTTCTATTTTGTGTTTGCCAGTAAAGAAGAAGCCATTGACGTGAACAAAACACAACATACATGGCACACATAAATACAACGTACTTCGGCGAAAGATAAAACGCAGGAAGGCGAAAGTTTGGCGAAAGTAAATTGTTTTTTGGCGAAAATGACGGATCCCGGATAAAGGAATTTAGATCAACTCCCATATGGTCCTTTCATATCCTTGCCTATCAGAGGTCATGTTTGGGGCTCGGTGAAGAGATGTCCTTGGAGGCACCCACCAACGGCCACGCCAACGGCTCGGTCGATCCGTCCACGGTCGTGGACAGAGCGGACTCGGCGGTTTGGACGTGGCAGGTACCTGGAGTTCCAAGGCTTGAAGTTCACTCGCGTCTTGACCTCTGAGGGTCTGATCTCAGTGCCCCTGACCAAGAGTCACTGGGCGGCGACCTCGTCGACGGCACCCGCGGTTCTTCCGGGTGCCGCCGACGGGTGTGTGTGGCTGGCACCGCGGTGCGTTCGCGTCCCACGGAGTTCTACAGAAATATGTTGGGAGTCGTCCTAGAAAGGGAGGAAAGCTTGGTGCTTTTGGCGGATCCAGTCTGCTGCTGAAAACGATGCGCTGAGGGGATGGTTGTTGCTGATTGCGCCGGATGGTGTAGGAGAGATAATCCTTGTAGTTCAAAATTGTTCTTTGAATCAGCACAAGTGGTTTTGAGTGCCTGGCACAAAAGTCATTCTAGTGACATCTAGTGACCATCAGTCACAATCGTTGTTGGTTGACTTCAACTCCAGATCAGGAAAGTAGTTAGTGTGTAGCTATGTGTTGCTCCAGTTTCTCTATTTTATAATGCCTAGCACAGGCTAGTTAGGACCCTCGCCTCGGTTGGCACTACCACCGTTTGGACTTGCACATGGGCAAGTCCCGAAAGACCAGGTCTTTTCTGATCTATTGATGGCTTCCGGGTCATCTGAGGGGTCCAGGAATGGAGAATCAAATATGCGGAGGTGGCAATTACTGCATTTAACTCCATGTCCGGCCAATGGATCGATGTTGTTGGGATGCGTACCGCGCATGCGGGACACAGATGAATCGAATTGAATCGAAGCAATCGCCCCAGCCTCCCTGTGAAACGCGGTGCTTCCGAAGGTGAGATTTTTCAAGATGCCCACCTCAGCAAGGCGGAGAAGAGGTGCGACCAGCGACAGTACGACAGTGCTTGCTTTGGTGCCAAGGGAGCAACAAAGAACACCGGTTACCCTTGAAATCCCTTGAACAAGTCTTATATATAGAACATCTTAAAACTGTCATTTTGTTTGTATTGGGAGTTGGACACTTTTTGTGTGTTTTCCGCGGCAATCAGCAGCAAATGGTGACTTCATTCACTTTCACCAGGTGCCGCGTGATGTGCCACGTGTTGCCATACTTTTCTGTGGAACCATGTGCAACAAGCATAGGGAAAACACCGTGTCATGACCCACGGCTCACCCCGGACATTCGCTGGTTCAGGGATGCTGAGGTGTCCTTTCTTGAAGGTTCCGATTCACCAAAATTCGAGCACCACCCATGTGGAATCCGCATCGTTGCTGTTTGAGAACTGGTTCTCTGCCAAAGCTGACATTTCAATGTTGTTTTTCCTTCTTCAGCCACTCATTCGAGAAATGCTGATGTATAATTCTGTATCATGTACATTTAGAATATCATTTAGAACTGTTTTGAAGTATACCTTGGATGATGAGGAGAAGTCATGACGGTGAAACCGTTAGACTGCAAGAGGTAGTGAGCCATTGTAGGATGGGAGCCATTGGCACATTCACTGGACCAGTTCTCAACATCGTGATCAGCTAGGTGACACATTCTCATACTGTTATATTCCACAAATAGGATAATGATGATAACAGCAGCATCATTTCTTCAATACTATACTGCCTTGCTGTATGTGTGTTTTCCCATGCGGAGGGTTCTTTTTCTCGAGCACCGCCATACCACCGCCGTACCACCGGTGCCGCGATGCCGCAAGTTGAGACCTCGATGCGTGGGTCGATCTTGTGAGAGTGCCAGGATGCTGATGCGTTTCATCACCTCCATCCAACCCTATGTCTCCAGCTTGGCCTTCCAATCTGCTGCACAGTTGGGCGTGGACCAAGCGGCCAAGATCAAGGGACCCAGTGACTTGCTGGTCGAGCTCGTTGGACCGAGTGTAGCCACCCCAAAATGGCGAATCGAATCAAATAGTCGTGAATGTCGAGGAATTGGGTGAGTTTGGGGGAATGTCGATCGAATGATGTTCAGAAACTCATGGAACTTGGAATTTGTGAGTTGTTGGGGAACCTATGAGTTCTTGAACCCCACACCTGTCTCAGGTCTTACTTTGATTAGAATAATATGCATGGTTTCTAGCACATCTATCATGGATGGTCCGGGCCTCCGAAATCTTGGTGTCCAGAAAGAGGGACATCTCTTCGGTCTTCCTTGGCAACAAAGGTTCAGCTCGAATTCGTTCTCTTTAAGAAGGAGCACTCGGAAAAACCATATCCTATGTTTTGTTGGTCGCGCAAGGAGAAGTGTGGTGTTGCCTAAAAGCTTCCCCTGAGTGAGTTTGCGCATATTACACATATTTTTTTGTGATCCACTGAGATCAGTTGGATGCGATCTCCGCCAGCGAATCTCGCCGCAGGCGACCAGAGTGCTTTGGGCATGGCACCTTGACAACGGGGTCCCGCACGCGCGCGGCTTGCGCAGCTGGCAGGAAAAGCCACATTGTCTCAGGTGGGCAATCACAATGAAACCACCGACGGCCAACCAATTGATGTCAAAGGGGAGTCAAATTGACAGAGCGGTAAAGTGATATATGGTAACAAAGGGGTCAACATATATAAAATGGTAAATTGACCCACCCTGGTAATAGGAGATAGCTTCTCGGACATTGATGAAAGTGGAAGATGTTGTCTTTGGACAACTCTCGTGGAAGTCTTCTCCTCGACCAGCAGTACGTATGTGACACTTGGGTTGTATTTGACACTTGGGTTTTGGCTTCTTCCTTGGGGATTGGCAGGCTTCGCGCCATGGCAAAGGTCAACATGCCAAGCAGACGTTGATGTTCTGTAGGGCTTCAGCTCTCCAGCTCTCTTGATCTGCTCGACAGCTGAGGAATTGGATGGGTCTTGGCGTGCCTTTCTGCAGCAGCAGAAGCTCGGAGGGTGGACTAAGCTCGGCTCGTGAGGGGGTTGGTTTGGTCCACTTTCCATCAGGCACATGGAACAGGGGTGTTTGAACATGCATTCTTCATTGAACTGTGAATCGTGTGTCTTTTGCTTGTGGCCTTTACTTGGGGAGATGCCCCATGAGACCCATGAAAGTCATTCGTTTCAGTTGCCAAAGAACCGACCAAGAGCAGACCACTTCTCCTTCCGCAAAAGATGCAGATCACCGTCCGGAGATATTTGAAGTCTAGAATCTACACTCTGACTCACTAACATGGAAGTGGAAAACCCCTTGCTGGTAGAGGAAAGTCGTCTTCTCAGGTAGAGAAAGGAGGTGTTGCATGGCTGAATGCTCTTGTTTGTCAAAAGCGACCGTGCATTGGAGATTTGCACGGTGTTGGTTGCTCTTTGTGTGATGGACCGGCGTCTCAGTTGTCTCAGGAGAGCACATTGGATTTTGCATGGAGACCTTGCCAGTCTTTAAGCCAAAACGTATTTTATTTGTAAAGGACCCACTGCTCCTGCACGGACCAAGAAGGCGCACGTAATACATATGCATGGAGACCTAGCCTGCATCATCCATACACCGGTTTGCTTCTCACAAGCTCTTTGTGTTACGATGTGAAAGTGGTGCCTTAGATGAGAGCATGGGGGGGGAGCCCAAGACACCACAGCTCAGCCTACAGAGAGGTGCCTATCGGCGCATCGCTCGTGGGAACGGACCAAGGAACCTGTCGGAACGCTTACAAGACTTCATCACCTATTCTATTTGCTTGTGGGACTGGGCCCCAACGGAAGCTTTTCCACAGCTCAGCTGCTCCTTGGATGGATATAACGATGCCCCTTTAACGCCCATAGACGAACATCGATCTGAAAGCAAATGACTTGAACTCGATTATGAACATCTTCAACGACCTGTCTGCACAGTTGGAGCCCGTTTGGGACTGTTTCCGTGGTTGAATCCTCCATAGCCTGGTGAGACCAAACACCCTGGTGCAGGTTGGCGAAATGGGAGGGCGTGGGACCTTGTGACCACTGAATCCACTGGCGAATGCTCAGGTGACGCGACCCGCATCCCTCTATCTAATTTTGTGTCTTTGAACTTGCAACTCATGGAAATCTCAGATATGTCACTTGAAAGTTGAGATGTTCACTACAAGTGAGATGTTCACCACAAGTGTATACAAGTGTATGATTTGGGTAAATGCTTTCTCGATACTGGAATCAATCATCAAAGCCACAAAGGAGGATGTTCCAGCAAAGGACGGGCAGAAGTCTTGGATTTTGGCTGATCACACTCCAGTACTGAAAGGGTCGGGACTGGTGATGAATCCTTACTTACTACTTACTGATGCTACTGTAGATTGCAGCTACAAATGACACACCAGCCAATATTGTCATATGATCTTTGTGGTTGAGTTGTCAACTATCTGCTTTTGCTCAGCACTCCGACCGTCGGAACCGGCAACCGTCCCAGGTCGGGAGGCCTTGGAACGGCTCGGAGCCTTTATCTCCTCGTTGGGTTTGTATGGTCGGGGCACCAGCATGCCATTGCTTTTCCCCATGTGCCTTTGCTGGAGACGGTCTAAGGCCAAGAGATGCTGCAGACTGCAGCATTGAAGGACACGCGAGACATTTGATTCTTGAAAGTAGACGGCGTATTTCGAGGTGAGGGTATCATTCATATCTAAGTCAAAGCGTCAAGCAGCTGATTGTTGCTAGTGGAGGGCCATGGGCAACACCCATTATAAACCTATTCGTTGGTGTTTTATCCCAGATGTTCCAGCAAGAGTCTCCCTTTTGCTCATAACAGTGTCTTCGTGTTCAGTCATTTCTTTGCAGAGTCCTTCGAAACTGCTAAATCCTCTGGTGCAAGAGTCTCCAAGAGTGCCTGCCCAACGTTCAACTTGAGATATTCAAGTGGGGTGTGTTTGTTGGAACCTGAGTCAATTTGCTTAAAACTTGGCTCTTCGAAGGAGGATCACAAAATGCAGAAGACCTGCCAGTCGTTTGGTGGGTCCAGAAGAGGTCGCCGGAGGCTCTTGCACCAACATCCAACCAAAACCTGGGGTCTGTCTACTCCAAATCAATCAATCCTGCGTGTGGATGTGAGGTATGGCATTGGTGAAGTCTCCCAAGGCTACACCCGGCTGTGCGCGGTGCACCGTGGCGTCTATGCGCTGCGCACCAGGGCGACCCACTTGCTTGCACAGGAGGACTGCACTGCGGCCTGCGGGTCAGCCAGCCTTGCTAGATCGTTGCCCTTGAGTGAGTCTAGACCATGGTCAAGGATGAACGCATGAATGAGAATACTGTAACATATATTTTTTGCCAGGGGTGTTTTGGCAGTTGTTGATGGTTAAAAACCCATGACCTGCAATAGTAAATATATGTAAATACAAGCGTTTCTTACAAAACAGCACATCCAAGAGTAGCACCAACAATTTGTTTCTTTTGGCAAGAGCGTTGCGAGGGGTGTCATGAAATTCAAGGGCTGGGGTGTCCGTCCCAGAATCCTTACTAAAGAACCTGAAGTTATAAGTCAAGGTAGAGGAACCACTGCAGTTTTCCCTGACAGGGGGGCCATTCACAGACGGAAACCTCCTGGATGGTTACGTAGTTGTTGTCCACTATTGATCATGATGTTGCCAAGCAGCATGCCCAAGCCCTATGACTATGAGAGTCCCTACAGAGCACCTCTTCAAGACCCAAACAACCCAAGGAACAGCCACAGGCATAGTCCCTAGTAGAAATCTTTGCACTCAATGAGCACTGCAAGACCCTTCAGTGTCCGCAAACACAAGCGTTTTCCAAAATATCATGTGACGACAACTGTTCAATCACCAGCTGGCCCTAACACAACCCTTCACTACAGGTTTCTTGGCGGCCACACTTGCAGGTCTCAGCCTCACCCAGCAGCAAGGTCAGGCTTAATGGGCAAACACAAGTTGGCCACAAATACAAGCCTTGACCAAAACATCGTGACTAGTGATTAAGATTCAACATATCACACGGACACACAAACAATGTCATCGCAGGCTCCAATTGCTCATAGACAGCATAGGGTTTGGATTCCGGGGCTGGAAGGTCTAGTTCTCAGTCAAAAAGACTGACTGATAATGGCTTCAATGTGCACATCGCAATAATTAACCTCCCCCGAGTGAAAACTGTGGCAGAGGTTTGTCTCGGTAGAGAATCAACACCCAATTGACCTAAGAGATCATCTATTTTTGGTGTTGTTTGTTTATTTGGTTCTATTAGATCCAAAGGTCTTCAGGACCCGCAAGTCACCCTCGGATTGGAGCCCCACATAGATGGGTCAGGTGCCTAGGTGCAACTCCTCAACTTGGGCCAGGCGGCCAAGTAAGAGTTGCTGGATAACTTTCTTGGCTAGGATTGAGGATGCAGTCCATTTCCATAAGGTCGCACCAATGAACTGGCTTCGGTTTCAACAGGGAATTTTTGAAACACTGGTTGCTCGTGACATTGCCCCGTTGGTTGATTCTGCTATTTAACCGCTATTTCAGTGGGATCTCCATACAACCCTTCGGTTCACTGGAAGTTCAAGACCATTACATGTTGTTCCAGTTCAGGAGGAAGATGGTACGATGCAACTCTCTGGTTTAGTCACCTGTCGTGGCGAGCAAATCAAAGCCTCACGCCTGGTGGCCGCGTGTGGGGAGCTCCTGCAGGACCAGGCGCTCTGTGCGCCGGTGGAAAATCCTCGGGCGCTCCGGCAATGATATATATATATATGGCCCCTAGGGATTCTTCAGGCCTGATCTGTCAGATATATCACCTGTTGTGAGGCCTGTGACCCGGCCGAGACGTGTAGCGAACTTGAGACTTGCGATTGGATTTCTTTGCCCAGGTGAGTCAGGTTAGAGTTGGGAAGTGATCAAGGGCCAGCAGATCAAAGATCCTGATGCTGGGGCCCACTCAATTGGCGCGCAGCGTATACCAAAAAAAAGAATTGGAGTTTGCAAAACTTGCCAGGTTGGCTACCAGGCATTATCACTATGAAATCAATCATGTTTCAGTGGTAGAGCGTAGGACTCACCCTCACCTTTCCGCCGCTTCGGCGCCAGGTGCCTAGCCAGTCCTCTTCGCAGCATTGCCGGCGCATGACCGTGCTGCTGAGTTCTCCTCCGCTCGGGGAGGAGGGCGTGAGCCTCTGTGTGGTGCCTCCGCAGTCTTTGGATCCGCCGCTGCAGAACGTGGTGCAGGTGGGGATCCAAGGACTGCGCCCCTGGCACTCTAAAGGGACGAAAGAGTATATCACATATACCGACATGAACAAAACACAAAACTGCACCAAACAGTCACAACAAGATGACCACATAATGGGGATTAGCCTACTAACATGTAAATTTTAACATGAAATTTGGTTGATTAGATTCAATAATTAGACACATTCATAGATCTTTGCAGTGATCAAACTTGATGCCCTGGTTTGAGAACACTTGAAAAAGGTCACAAACAGGCACCCCATAAAGGTCGCTTGGAAGGTTGTCACAATTTCACCTCCGGAGGTGCTTCAGCTGGACTTCAGCAGTGGCGCCTGTCCGCATGGCTACTTTCTGGCGCATCTCTCACAAGCCTCCATCAGCCCTTTAGATCAAGTGCTGAAGTGGTGAGGGTTGCATGAACTTCTTGTAAGGGTTTATGTTCAGCAAACCACATTGAATGGTTGTTTATGGTTGTCTTATGGATGTTGTTGTTGTTGTTGTTGTTGTTGGCATTTCTTATGGCATTTGTAGATGCACATGTTGTGAAGATCGTTTTGCAGTAGACTGTCAGATGGAAGGATGTGGATTGGCCAAAATGTTGTGGAAGATTCTGCAAAACCATTTTCCCAGACCAGTGAAATAACTACTTACATGAGGGTCATAGATGGGGCAAATGGATATAACTATTCCAGTCCCGTGGATGGTTTGGGTACCAATCGAGGATCTATGGTGGTCTCCCTTCTGAGTCCTCCGCCTGTCCATCCCCCCTCTCAGGCGACCCGGGTCCTTTGCCCTTTGCGGATCTGGACCGAGTTTTGGAGGAACTGCTGAAGCGATCTCCAAAGACTGCCTGTATCTTCAGGTCGAATCCGTCGGTCGGAGTCGGTCAGTGCAAGAGGATGTGTGCAGGGCATGTGGGCAGGGCAAGACGTGTGTGTGCGTTGCAGTATCAACGTGAGACAATGACCAGAAGTGTAGGATGGATTGCAGTGTTTGCTTGGAGCCGAACCCATTGTCGCGGCAGTTATAGTGTCCATGTGCGAAGCAATTAATATAGGTCAATAGCTCAGCGCCGCTAAACATGCATCATCAGCATCAGCAAAAGAGCTTGTGGCGTGCATCAGCATCAGGTGAGCCTTGTTTGGGCTAAGGGGAGTGATTGTTTGAGCGAACTACGTGAAATTCGAGGCATGAACATGTGGATTATACTTCAGGTTGACCGATGGTTCTAGCCCTGTGAGCCATTGGCATGACTCATGACGCCAAGCCTCTGATAAGAAGTAATAATTTTCGCATTCCCTCAAGTGTGTGGTGGGTCTAAATCGAGACGGTGCTGTCGTTTGGGTGCTGTCCACGCCCTCTCCTGACCATCCTGTTGATCCTGTTGCCCTCCAATCGAACATAGTAAGCCAGAAGTGAGGTTTGAAGGGGAACATCTCTTTCAACACGTACCTGTCAGTTTGCCTTTGTTCCCTTTATGTATCTTTGATAATTTGGAGAGCCTTGAATGACTCCAATGACCGTTGCCATCATTCTTTGGAACCCAAACACGGCCCTGCAGCGCACAGGTGTCGCTACCTGCAACGGCCGCGCGACGTGGCCACGCGCTGGGACGTCTCCACGAGAACGGGTGGCTTCATGGAGCAGCTTTCTTTGCACTGAAGAAGGGGGGACCGAGGGGTCCTGGACTCATATGCCAGTTGGATCAAGGGTGCACAAAGCATGCAAAGTCATCCCCGAAAAGACAGCAAGCAAACAGTGGCAGACAGCCTGGGCATGTGTGTGGGTATTAGCGGCCAAAGAAGTTCTGGGGCTTCGAACACGTGTGGCGCGAAGATCTGGAAAAACCCTTTGAAGATCGGTCGTTGCAGCGGAGTAAGCTTCCGATCGAGACGAAGGGACTGGTGATTACGACTGGCCCGTCTCCACTGGCACGACAAGATCCACCCACCAGGTGAAGAAAGTCACATAATCCGTAGATTCTGCCGGGCGGCTAAGGGGGGAGGCGTGGAAAATTAAGGTTGTTCTAGGTGCCCATGTATAAGTGGCCGTTGGATGAATGGCCTGTTGCGTCTAACCTCCTATCCAGACCATAATGTACACCTCCACAAACACACCATCAGTGTGAAAGTGAAGTGGCCTTTCTTGGCACCTAGAACCTCTTTGTTGAAAGTGGATTTACTGATTTTACTGTATACCAGAATTGAGCAGGTGGAACGAATCATTGGTCCCCACAAGGATTCAACCGTCCGTTCGTTCCCGAACCTGGGCGTCTCGCCGTCCGCATGGTCGAGGAGATGCCTCCATGAAGAGCGCCTGGCCGTGGTCTCGGACCCTCCCGCCGTGCCGCAGCTGCTGGCGGTGCAGGAGGTCCACGATGCCCGCAGCTCGGCCGGAGCTTGGAACGGAGCTCGAACGGGAGTGGTGTGGTGTCGCGGGGTGGGGGAAGGGGTGGCGATGAAACAAACATCCATGAACATCATGGGAAGCTGACGGGTTTTGCTGGATGCGAAATGAATCAAGACCAAGGCTCACACTGGGGAGACGAACAGGTGGTTACGCTTGCAGTGGCAAAAGAAACTAGAGAGAGAGAGGGAGAATATGGGAGAATGATCAGATCCTCATATCCTCAATAAATGCAGGATCATCCGCCTGCAACTCAACATCCGACTCGTGGTGGATCCTAGGGCGTCATAGCAACTGCTCAGGGCGCCGGCGGTCGCCGCGCGCGCGCGCGAACCGAGCCGAGGGCGGATCTTCGGGAGCTTCTTCGGCGCCGAAAGCGCGTTCTTGCCCAAGCCGCAGCATGTGGCTGAGGAGACGGTGCAGATCGAAAGGGGGCCGGGGGGATTGAAAGACTGAACACAGGTGAACTTGAAATCGGTCTGTCAGTTCACTGTTTTCCAGTTGCTGTCACTGTTGTTTTCCGCAAAAAGTTCACACCATCCTCACTCCAGGTGCAGATCAATTCAGGTGAAAAACACTGATCAACTCAGGCTCCGGAGCTGATGCAAACTCCCATGGCCATGCGGGGATCGTGAACGATTACGACTGTCGTGCTGGCACTCGTTCATGTCTCCAAATCAATACCTGACTGAACAAACCCTTGGACCCGACTGAACACACCCTTGGGACCTTGGTAGAGGTTTGTTTTGGTGGTGGAATGTAGCTCTTAAAGCAGAGTGTGTTCGCTCAGCCAGCTGTGCAAGTTGAAAATGATATGCCCTTCAGGTTGCGAGGGTCGGCATGAGATGAATCAGATGCAAGTCCTGTTGGTGGGGAAGCCGTTGTTGTAACGACTTAAGCATGGGTGCTGATTCGACAACAGGCATCAAAGATATTAATGACAATGACCTTTAATGACACTCTATAGCCATAGCATCTCAAAACCAAGACATATACACCCCGGAAGATTAACATGGAACCTGAAAACCACTCGATGCTAAAGACAAATAACTATTCCAAAGGTCCATTCTCAGGTTCCATGTTTATCTTCGGGGGGTCTATGAGTTAAACCTTAACAGTTCACATCTCAGCACTGGTTTTGTCTACTTGTTAGCGGCTTCTGATTGCATCAGGAGGAGATGAGTGGTTCATTGGAAGAGCTGGAACACTTCAACCAGCAGATGCAGGTGCGCAGGTGCTTAATTGCGTGTCTCCCAATAGTTTGTCGGGATCTTCAGATCGAGGGACTGGCATAGAAGAATCTCCTCGCACAAATTAGATACACTCCCTGAAATGATGGCAGAAGTGGACACCACCTGTTTGTAGAGGATAAATTGTCATCACTTCTTTGACTATTTCAGGGAGTGTAGCTCCGCACAATCGCTGAGGCTCAAGAGGCTCAAGAGGCTCAGGAGCCACCTGTGGCGTCATTGGTGCAGGAGGAGTGGAGTGGGAAGACAGTATCCTCCAGGGGGGAGTCAAACAGTTTTGGCAGCGGGATGTGGGATTTGATTTAGCCTTGCCAACTTGCACAATTTGCACATGTTACTTTTGGTAGTTGTGACAGGATAGTGTTTTTCAGACTTTGCTAAAGCAGACCCAGTCATATCTTGGGAGTTAAAGCTTAAGTCAGGACGCCACTGCTCGGCACCCGTCGCTGCAGGACGCCGAGCAGTGAAGTCATCCAAAAAGAGACCTGGGTCCCGACATGATGAGGATGCAGGGGCGAACAGCTTTGAATGATGATCGTGTGGAATGAGCGCACTGAATGGCAGCGCAGAACAGCTGTGACAGCTGGATGAGAAGGTCTATGTACCAGGGTTCTTCCAACTTTTCTTGAGGTGTGGGAGAGCCCCATATACCTGCACAGTATGCATTCAGGAACATAGGTGCGTCATGGCTATCCCAGGTCAGGTGGCAGATGAATGTCCAACCCAACCACCAACTTAGCACGTCCATCAAGTTGTTGGTCCAAACTTGGGCAGTGTGGTGCTCCGCATCCTTCTGAAGTAGCTTTGTTTGTCCAGTTTGAATACCCTGAAAGCAAACCAAGGGCAAAGCTGTTTGCTTCCAGAGCTGATCGTGGCTCAAGAGACCTCATACTGTAGTAGTTTTTTTCAGTACTGATTCCAAAGCTGGTGTTTGACATTCGAACAGCAGTAGCTGAATTGGCAGACCTGGACACCCACAGTGAGAGAGAGAGAGAAGAAAAGAAAAGAACATATTGATTCAGATCACCTGCTCCATCACAGTCCTGAGAAATGGATGCTGCACAGTGCCAGTTCTATCCACAATACAGCCTTCACAAACTGGAATCAGATCTTCATGGTCCATGGTTCTCAAACATCAAGGGTACAATTGCAATTATAATCAACTATATATCTAGACAGTATACGGCATATACGAGAAAAAACACATTCCTATTCATGCATGCCCAAGAAAGATTTTCTATCAGGATCAGGCATGGAAGCTGCATCAGACATGTTGATCAATCCTTGGTCCACAGCTGTTTAAAGCGTATTCCATGCTCACCCCTCAGCGGGCGCAGCTCCAGTGGCCATGTGCAAGGGCGTGTGCAGGCGTTCAGCATTGTCTTTTCGGGGTGGAGCCAAGTAGTAAAGGAACAAGAGACAACTTGTAAGTGAGGCAGGAGCCAACAATACCAGCCTGCTCCGCAGCAAAGAGAGAGCTGCAGGAAATCTGTTTCAGAATTTGATAGGTCTACCTCTCGTGAATCATAAGCATGGTCTTGAAGGGGCCTGTGTCCGGCTTTCATGGTTGTCTAAGCTGGTGTAGGACAATTTCTTGCAATTTGTTGAATGAATCAAAGACGTCTCAATCCCCAAACGGAGCTTGTGGATCCCAAGATGGTCACACATGTGGACTCACTGTTGGGGAATCAACATACATTACACGTCATTACACTACCATTGCAATAGAATCAAGCATTTGGATGAGGGACTTTCAAAGGTACCAAGGTTGATTGGCTGCTGCCGGTCTCACACAAGGTCCAGTCCATCGCCATCGCCTCTACAACGCAAGCCGGCGGAGCTCACAGAAGCCGACCGTGGGCACGAGGCAGCAGTGGAAAGACGAGGGAAATTCAATGTCATGGATTTGCCTACTAGCGATGGCCTCCGACCCAATAGCGATAGCCTCCAACCTGCTAGCGATGGCCTCCAACCTCAAAGGCAGTCATGGATCTGCCTTTTGCATATCTCTTCAAGAAAAAGATACAAGTCTCTTGTTTCCACCTCAATTGAGAACTTGTAAATGGTATACACCTTGAGTCAAGGACCTTGAGTAGTTGAACACATGAAGCTTGGCAGAAGGAAAGTGCTCGTTCAGACGATCCTCGAAGCGATTTCCTCGGAACGGTCAGGGGACGACGGAACGGGCGGAGGGGCATCAATGCCAACGCATGCATTACAACCCCGAAACTGGGCGATGATCACTGTAGTCACTGTAGTCAGGACTGTGGGACTGCCAAACGGAATGCCTTCCAATTACTTCCACCTTCCCTCCTTCCCTCCAGTCACTTGGAAGCGAAGCAACGAAGCAACGTGTCCGAACAGGACCTGCACCGCAGAGGCCCTAGAGCTTCTGGTCTTTTCCTTCAATCAGACTTTCTGAAGTGTTCAGCATGACTTCCAGCGTGTGCCAGCTGTTGACGACAGCTGTTGACCAGCCCTTTTCCCACTGAAAAGGGCTCCGACCTTCAACATGTCTAACTTTTCTCATCCCACCGAAACATCCAGGGATGGTCTATCCAAGGGGGGTCATAGAATAAGCGGGCCCAAAGCCGGTGCAAAAATATATGCACGCACCGGTGTCTTCCAGGGCGCTGCTGGGTCTCTCCGCCTGCTTGCTACGGCTCACGGCACGGCTCACCTTGCGCCCTGCGGAGCTCTCGCTAGAGCTGCAAGGAGCCAGTGTAGACTTGGGGCGCCAATGGTGAGTGATGTTGTCTTGGTATGATTAATTAATTTGAGATCAAACTGACCTGTAGGGGAAGGTGTCAACATGTTTCAACACTTTGCGCTGCGCTGTTGAACAATGCTAAGCAAAGCGCCGCCTTATTGTGGCGCCGCCAAAATGGCGCAGGCAACTCGTTTTGGAATCTTCTGTTGGGGCGCTTCAGCTCGCTGTCGTGCACTCTGCACCGCACCAAGCGCTTCATGCGTGCACGAGACCTGAGGGTGACCTGGGAGGAGGCGAGATGCGGAGAGTTGGTGCGGTCAAGATGCGTCACCTGCCATGATCAGCCATAGAAGCTCAACAAAACAAAGGCTTGACTAGAAGGTGCAGTCAGCTTGGAGTATGGAGGCTTCCACCCTGCGGAGGTGGATCTGGGCCTGAACCCTGTGCTGTATTTTGCTCTTCCGCTGGTGATGCTGTGGAAGCCTTTGCCGAGCTTCTACCTGCTATTGCTGTTCCTTGGAGTTTCAATATGTGGAGCTTGGAGGATGGGAATTCAATCCATTCCACAATTGGAACCACATCGCCACGTGGGGCGCAGAGCGAGCTCATGTCTGACCTAATTGCAAGATCATGAAGCACTTGAAGTGAGGATATTCCAACGCTTTGGTACATCCCAGTTGGTCTAGGAAAGCGTCGTCACCAACCCATATCCCTCTCCCAGCAATGCATGATAATGCATGTGTGGAAGGTTTGCGACGTGAACCTTTCGCCTAGAGACATGGATCACTATAGGTGCTTGGGTTTCAATTGCTGCTTTGGTCTCTTCCTGGCACTGCTCCTTCGCCAGGTTTTACCTCCTTCGCCCTGCCTGGCAACGTTCGAACCCGCGCAGAAGCTCCACGCAAGGGTCCCGCGACTCGCGTGGCGGGTTGAGCTTTGAGGCTTCGGCAGGAGCAGAGGAGTTGTGGGAGTGAGCCTTGCCCGAGATACCTTGCGAGAAGATCATTGCTTTCTTTGCTGGGTGTTGGTGCATAAATAATATGACTATAACAATAATTACATACGATTATATATATTATTATATAGCAACTATTCATGCAGCAAGACGAGTTTGGGTGTTCACCCGTTCAGTCTGTTTCAGACCTTGAGTGGTGGAACGGAACATGGACTTGAGTGTTCTGAGGATGATAGCTTGTGCAGGGGTCCCCCCACACTATCCTAGAAACCTAACTGGCTAGGAGAACCATCTTCTTGACAATATTGCAATCACTGCTTTCACCATGGCTTCACCAAACCGGGCTGAGGTCGTCTTTGGCGCTCCTGGCTGAATGTGGGCTTAGGTGACATCATGAACTATAGCATCGCAGGTGGGGGACCGTCAGGTCAGGTAGGCCTAGCCGGCTCGGAAGGGGTCTGGTAGGACGGCCGCATTGGTGGAGGTTTCCGGGTCGATGAAGCTAGGAAGTAGTATCACCTATAGACTCTTAGATGTCTTAGATGAAGAACCCACCCCATGGGGCCACCAGGGGGGTTATTAATTAAACAAGTTCTGATCAAACAGCTTGTTGTGCAAGTAATTTCCACATGTGCACCATCATGGTTCGGGTTCCCCCGAACAGCTTCAAAGAAAAAGTCTCTTCGGTGTAAGTGCGGAACCTTCTGGCGCTCACACCTGCCACTTGCCACACCACGAGGATCCTCTCCTCTCTCCCCAGTGGCCTTCCATCGTGTGCGCTTTCTTGCGGCCGCTCCTCTGTCCCCGCGGTGCTCCGTGGTGCAGGCTTGGTGGCAGAGCTCGGGGACTTGCGCCAAGCCACGACCTTTGAACTGCAGGGTCTTCAGGTGCCTGAAGCTGCCGTCGAACGGAACGGATGGCTGAGGGTAGGGGATGGCTGGGAGTCCTTCCGATACCACTGATGCTATCTCGTTTTCTGCTATCTCGTTTGCCCTCCTTGTGCAATGGTTTGCCCCATGCGTCCCCATCTAGAGACCATATAGGTTCGTAGATTCAGAGCTGGAGAAGAGCCTTCCTTATCTTCTGTTTGGTCATAAAACGGTCGCACGTCCACTCCTTTGAGGCTGGATTCGCTCGTCCAAACCAGGTGACGGATGCTTTAGAGCTGGATGCAGTGGCACAACTGCCGGACAACGCACTGTTCAAGTACCGCTTGAAGCGCCTGAGTGAAGTGGAGACAGGGACAATGAAGCATTTGGTGGAAGAAATCCCCTATCTGTTAGTCTCAAGTTGTGTAGGATTTCTTCCACTAAGAGTCATGATGGACATGCATGCTTCGCTGCTTGGGGCATGCACAACATAAGGGTATGTGATCGGCCA